GAGATTTGCTCGTGTGCGTGCTGATTACACTGTAGGGACGCATAAATTACACAAAACAACAAACGTATATACATGTATACCGTTTTTCTAGATCAGGACATTTTCCCAAGATATGTTCGTTTCAACTTTGGATCGCGAGTGAATAAGAATTTAAATTTCAATATGGAGAATGTTACTCATACGCCATGTACGATTATGTACGGCCATGTGCGAATTTAGTCGTTAGTATCTTCATTTTTAGGTAACAGGACAGGCTTTCACACAAATAGTTATTAAATTTTTTTCTTCTTAAAGTAAATTTTTTTCATAAAAATGAGAATTTTCTTAAACTATGTTTACATTACCGCATAATTTACTATATTTCGATCAAATCGCTTTACATAAACCAAGTACGTACGCGTATGAGTACGAGTGTGTGGTTTGTACTTGATTAAAAGAAAAAAATGGTTACATACCTTTAGTAATTTTTTTTTTAATTTCCTCAAAAGTGGGGCTAAAATAAATGTAAAATATTTTTTTTCTTCATTTGGTTCTTTATTTATGATTAATAGTCTAATTTCTATTTAATTTATTGACTCATTTTACAAAGCGAAACTACTTTTTGTGTGATTTCAAAAATTGAGATTTCCCCTACAATGCTATATACTTATTTTTTCAATCATCATGATGATAATGATACCGAGTCAATACCAATCAATTTTTAATACTATGTCGACTGCACCAAGGCGTTTATAAGTTTTTAAATCACATTTATGTATTTATGCATTCTCCGCCATTTATAAAGCTCTTTGATAAATGAACTTTTATCTTCTTTTTTTTCTCCTTTAGATTACAACGACGAACCAAGCGGCACCGGTGCATTGGCTGGTAGTTTTGATAAATCCGTACTTCAAATATCAGATTGGTTGACGTGGGAACAAAATATGATAAAAATACAAAGTGTTGCCGTCGATGATGTGGATGCGGTGCGCATGGCCATCGAAAAGCAAGAGGTGAGCGAATGCATTCAGGATATGTACACATATTAACACAAACCATTTGCTATGCTAGTGCATACCTACCTACATTTTCGTACATACATACATACATACTAAACTACACATTTATAGCAGAGATAGGACAATATTAAAAATCGAAATCGGTCACTGCTCGAGCACTTTCACATATCCGGACGTGTCCGGACTATTTATTCGTATGATGTGCACGCCGTTTTTTTGCGCAATACACCAGTGACAATAAAATATTGCATATGCACGGCAGAGTGCTGATACTGCCGTTTTTGATTGCCGCTCATATTTTGCACTGATTCAGTGCAATTTTACATACCTAGTGCCAATGTACACTCACATATACCTACTATTTATACTGTATATGCAAATGTTCTGTATTTAATTTGAATAACTTTTTTATTTACATTTTTTTACTTTTCGCAGAAAGTTTTACGTGAATTGAAAATGAAAAAGCCGCAACTCAATGAATTGGTTCACACGGCTGAGGTGCTTAAGGGCGACGTAAAGCGGCAACAGTTGCAGGAGAAAGGTAAGTACTTGAAAAGAGGAAGTAAAACTGAAAATGTGGAGTTATTAAAAAAAATAAAAATAAGGGCATTCAGTGAAACTTTTTATTGCGCGAAACACTCGCTACCACTATTGAGACCAATACATTGGCGATTTTAAATAGCTGGGCTGTGGTAAAAGCGCTCCACAAATTAAATGCCTTTTAATAGAAAGTGGTTGCGAGTTTTAATTTTTTGTATTATACATAAGTACTCTCTTAATCCAAAATATATTTAGTTTTGTTAGCTCTTTCGTTTGCGGAGGTTTGAAGCGCTCAGTACAGACAAATTACAATTTTAAAACCGATAACAAAGCGCTGAAATAATTTTTAGCAACAAATACACTTTTATTAGCAATCGTCTATACTCGCAGGCAGCTGTTGTCGATGCGATAGCGAATGTCTGGGAGTGGTGTCCTTGAGGGATATATTATTTGAGAGAGATAAAGCTCTAACGAATTAGTAAAGTCTATCCAGGAGAAAGTATAACAATTGGTAGAGTTAGTCAATCTTAACAAGGTTAGATCATTGAAAAAGCACCCCTTGATCGAGCAAATCTCAACTCATTCGGTTACGCAGAACTGGCTTTTGTCGGAATTTCAGTTCAGTTTGGTCAGCGGGGACTAGTAGGACATGGTGGATGGAAGCTACAGATCTGTCATACCGTGCTTGGGACTACAATGACTTGTCTTTCGATACCTCTTGAACACGATCTTCATAGCAAAGCTTTAATACTTCCCATCGGGGCATATAATTGTTCTCAACAAGTAATATCTGCTTGGCTGCAACCCCAGAGAACACCCGAATGGAAACTTTCTGGTAGCAGCGCCACTCCTAGGCACAGATCTCGTTTATATATATATATAGGCTAGAAGTAAGCGATATTCATCGAGAGGCAATTACCATCTTTACTAACTCTCATTCTCTGCATACCGCCATTGACGTTCAACTAGCACTCATCGTAAACGAAGAGTTGCAATTACGGTATAGATCCTGTAGCAGTTTAAACTCTTATTTATTCAGACTCCACCTCGTCATATCCAATTTATATTCGGCTTGAGAAGTCATCCTTAGGGTACGTTCACACAGAAAGCGGAGCCGAGCCGAGCGAAGCCGTTTCGAGCTGAGTGAAGCTTTCGAATTGCTGTAGCAATATGAAAGTGTTCATACAATAAGCAGCTTTTGATTTTGAATTTTCTATTTAATTTTTCAGCTTCATGACGCTACTGCAAACAAAATAGCAAAATATTCAAATTAAAATGAATTTTACAACTAATATTTTGAATAAAATTGAGCTAATATTTTTGCCGCTTTTCATTGACGGTATGTTTTGCGGTAGCTTTGCAGCCGAGTCCATGAGAAAAGCTCTGCTTCGCTTGGTTCAGTGTGAACACCAGCAGCTTTGCTTTGTTCCGCCTTGCTTCGCTCAGCGCCGCTCGACTTTATGTGTGAATGCGCCCTTATTGACATAATCCCAGCCAGCCTGCCCGACAAAAGCGCTGAACGCTACGCCCAACCTGATCCCTACCGATCTTCAGCTGAGAGTCAATTCTGTAAAAAACTAAATACATAGGTGGTAACCTACTCTTAAAATATTTTCTTCAGCAAAGTTTCCTCAACCTTTTTAGTTTGATACCCGTATTGTAATATTTAATTTATTTTATGAATTTAAAAATTGAATACAATTTTTAAAACAGTTCGTAACACTGCTCAAAAATATTTTTTT